CTGTTTTCTCCTCTAGGATTTTGATGGTTTCTTCTCTTACTTTTAGGTGTTTCATCCATTTTGAGTTTATTGTTGTATATGGTGTAAGAAAGTGGTCCAGTTTCATTCTTCTGCATGTTGCTGTCCAGTTTTCTCAACACTATTTGCTAAAGAGATTGTGTTTTTTCCATTGGATATTCTTTCCTGCTTTGTCAAAGATTAGTTGGCCATACATTTGTGAATCCATTTCTGGGTTCTCTATTCTGTTCCACTGATCTATGTGTCTGTTTTTGTGCTAGTTCTACACTGTCTTGATGATTACAGTTTTGTAATACAGCTTAAAGTACAGAATTGTGATGCCTCCAGCTTTTGTTTTCATTTTCAGCATTACTTTGGCTACTCAAGGTTTTTTCTGGTTCCAAACAAATTTTATTTTATTATTTAAAATTTTGTTTAACATTTATTTATTTTTGAGAGACAGTGAGACAGAGTGAGCGCAAGTAGGGGAGGGGCAGAGAAAGGGAGACACAGAATCTGAAGCAGGCTCCAGGCTCTGAGCTGTCAGCACAGAGCCTGATGCAGGGCTTGAACTCACAGACTGTGAGATCATGATCTAAATGGAATTCTAATGCTTAACAGACTGAGCCACCCAGGTTCCCCTGGTTCCATACAAATTTTAGAATTGTTTGTTCTAGCCCTGTGAAGAATGCTGGTGCTATTTCGATAGGGATTGCATTGAATATGTAGATAGCTTTGGGTAGTATTTTAACAATATTTGTTAAAATATTTGTTCTTCCAATCCATGGGCAGAGAATCTTTTCCTTTTTTTTTTTTTTTTTTTGCATCTTCTTCAATTTCTTTCATAAGCTTTTTATAGTTTACAGTCTATAGGTTTTTCACTTCTTTGGTTAGGTTTACTCCTAGGTATTTTATGGTGTTTGGTGCAATTATAACTGGGGTTGATTTCTTGATTTCTTTTTTGCTGTTTCATTTTTGGTGTATAGAATTGCAACTGATTTCTGTACACTGATTATATCCTGTGACTTTGCTGAATTAATGTGTCAACTCTAACAATTTTTTGGTGGAATCTTTTGGATTTTCCACACAGAGTATCATGTCATCTGCGAAGAGACAATTTGACTTCCGCCTTGCTGATTTGGATGCATTTTATTTCCTTTTTTGTCTGATTGTTGAGACTAGGACTTCCAACACTATGTTGAATAACAGCAGTGAGAGTGGACGTCCCTGTTGTGTTCCTGACCTTAGGGAGAAAGCTCTCAGTTTTTCCTGACTGAGAATGATACTAGCTGTGGGTGTTTTGCATATGGCGTTTATGATCTTGAGGTATGTTCCTTCTATCCCTATTTTCTTGAGGGTTTTTATCAAGAAAGAGTACTGTTTTCTGTCAAATTTTTTTTTTTGCATCTATTGAGAGGATCACATAGTTCTTATCTTTCCTTTTATTAATATAATGTATCACATTGATTGGTGGATATTGAACCAGACCTGCATCCCAGGATTCACTTGATTGTGGTGAATAATTATTTTAATGTATTGTTGGATCTGGTTTGCCAGTATTAAGGTTTTATTTTTATGTAATCTTTATACCCAACATAGGACTTGAATCCACAACCCCAAGATCAAGAGTCACATGCTCCATTGACTGAGCCAGCCAGGTGCCTGTAAACTTATCACTCCTGTGTATTCATTCTGGAATCACATTATAAGGAATAAAAAAAAAAAAAAAATTCTAGGTCGCTGGCTAAAGGTTGATTTCTAAATGTTATATACACGGCATTAAACTAAAAATGTATTTATAAATTCACTTGCACAGGGGTAAATAGATGACTTGGATGTTATTAACCCATGAAACTCATGTTCTTGTTATTGCATGTAGAACACACTATGAAAAAACTTCATTTCTTTTTTCTTTTTTTCTTGTAAGTAGGCTCCATACCCAACATGGGGCTTGAACTTATGACCCTGAGGTCAAGAGTCACATGCTTTCTGGACTAAGCCAGGCAGGCACACCAGAAACATTCATTTTCTTTTCTTTTTTCTTTTTTCTTGAAAATTCATAGCAACTTTATTCTTTTATTTTTCCTTTTTTAGGTTTATTTATTTATTTATTTTTACAAATAGTTTATTGTCAAGTTGGTTTCCATATAACACCCAGTGCTCATCTCCACAAGTGCCCTCCTCCATGCCCATCTCCCCCCTCCTCCCCACACCAATCAGTCCTCAGTTTGTTCTCAGTATTCAAGAGTCTCTCATGGTTTGCCTCTCTCCCTCTCCCCCACTATTTCCCCCCTTCTTCTCCCCCACAGTCCTCCGTTATGTTCCTCCTAAACCTCCTATACGTGCAAACATATAGTATTTGTCCTTCTCTGCCTGACTTATTTCGCTCAGCATAACACCCTCAAGGTCCATCCATGTTGCTACACATGGCCAGATTTCATTGTTTCTCATTGCCATGTAGTATTCCATGGTATAGATAAACCACATCTTCTTGATCCATTCGCCCGTTGATGGACACTTAGGCTCTTTCCATGTTTTAGCTATTGTGGAGAGTACTGCTATGAACATTGGGGTACATGTGTTCCTATGCATCAGCACTCCTGTATCCCTTGGGTAAATTCCTAGCAGTGCTATTGCTGGGTCATAGGGGAGTTCTATTGTTAATTTTTTGAGGAATCTTCACACTGTTTTCCAGAGGGGCTGCACCCATTTGCCTTCCCACCAACAGTGTAGGAGGGTGCCCGTTTCTCCACATCCTCGCCAGCATCTAGAGTTTTCTGATTTGCTCATTTTAGCCACTCTGACTGGCGTGAGGTGGTATCTCAGTGTGGTTTTGATTTGTATTTCCCTGATGAGGAGGGATGCTGAGCATTGTTTCATGTGTCTGTTGGCCATCTGGATGTCCTCTTTGGAGAAGTGTCTATTCATGTCTTCTGTCCGTTTCTTCACTGGGTTGTTTGTTTTTCGGGTGTGGAGTTTGGTGAGTTCCTTATAGATTTTGGATATTAAGCCTTTATCTGATATGTCATTTGCAATTATCTTTTCCCATTCTGTCGGTTGCCTATTAGTTTTATGGATTGAGAAACATTCATTTCTTAAGAACAGCATTATCATTTTCTAGAAAATATAAAAATCAGCCAAGGTCATCTATGAAAGAAAGTTTCTTGCTTCACATGCCTTCATAGTCCAGGCTGGTAAGAGGTAAAAATCCTTTAATTCTTATGAATAAGTCAGTCTCTGAATGTGATCACAGGATTTTAATCATCACTCAGTATATTGACAAATTCACTACTGCTGAGAAATCTTTGTTAAGAACAAATGCTATATTAAGCATAGTTGTTTATGTCTCTATAATTATCACCTTCTTGACAGACCAAGAATCACGTTTCTGCTGGTTTAGAAGCTATACAATATGGAGTGCTGGTGCTTTACTAAGCTAGGATAATTCATTTAATAACTGTGCACTATTGTGAGCTTGGTTTGAAAATATCAAACAATCATGGGTGCCTGGGTGGTTCAGTGGATTAAGTGTCTGACTCTTAGTTTCAGCTCAGGTCATTATCTCATGGCTAATGGGATTGAGTCCTGAGTCGGGCTCTGTGCTGACAGCATGGAGCCTCCTTGGGATTCACTTTCTCCTCTCTCTCTGCCCCTCCCCCACTTGCATGTGGGCACATGTGTACTCTCTCTCTCTCAAATAAACATTTAAAAACTATATCAAAGGATCAATAATTTGCATGATCCAGAAGTAATGAGACTATCTCATTACAGTTTTGTAGACGTAATTTCTAAGCTAACTATAGCTGCAAAGCCTTTTTAAAAAATGTTTATTCATTTTTGAGAGACAAAGATAGAAAGCAAGTGGGGGAGGGGCAAAGAGAGAGTGAGACACAGAATCTGAAGCAGGCTCCAGGCTCTAAACAGTCAGCACAGATTTGGATGTGGGGCTGGAACCCAAGAACTGTGAGATCATGACCTGACCTGAATCCCACATTTAACAGACTGAGCCACCCAGGTACCGTTGGCCACAAAGGCTTTTTAAGGTGTTATTAAGAAGTTTCAGATATTGGCATAATTTTAGCTGCTGTTTTTAGGAAATAATGTAGTCATAAACCAAAGTGTAAAGATGACTCAATTTAACTTTTGTCCTTTTCTCCCCATCTTTAATATAATTGTTTAAAGAATAATAGTCTTCTGAATAAGGTAAATTACTCTTTTCAAAGTTACTTAAATCTTGAGATGATATACTTCGAAAAATTTGTGTTCAGTAACCTAATGAAGTATAAAACACTAATTTTGGGGGTGCTGGCTGGCTCAGTCTGAGAAGTGTGAGATGCCTGAACTCGGGTTCATGTGTTCAAGCCCCACATGAGGTGTAATGATTACTTAAATAAAAGCTAAAAAAACCTCCAGCCAATAAAAACATTAAAATTGTAAAATTTGTATTTTTAAAAGTACATTCTAAAAAGCTGTATTCAGATGTAATGATTTGTGAGTTATTGTATGCATAAATGTTTTTACTAATATACATCAATATATTAGCATATGAATTAAATATATTTAGGTCAACAAATACTAGAGATTCTACTATGGGCTGGCTTCCAAGAGTGACACAGATGAATAAATAATGTGCTTTTTTGGCCTTCTAGAAATATTCAGAGTAAGAAGTGATTGCCAGGTATGAACATGCCTACCACAGAAGGAGGCAAAAGGGAAAGATTGCAAAAGAAAGTACTAGAAGGAAAGGGTTAAAATAAAAATCTTTCTGGATAATTTCAAAAGATTTCCTCTAGTAAGTGGTTGAGATAACCCATGAAGGGTGAGTTTAATTTCCACTAGAGGAGACACTTATAATAAATGTGGGCTGCTTTGAAGTGATTAATACTAGAAAAATTCTCATATAACAGTCTGAAATAGATATGAACAATTTTAATATTTAGTCTTTTTTAATTTCATGAAGTCTTATGTGTTGAGAAAAAATTTAAGTTCTCAATACTCTATACCTTCAATTATATCCAGGAGAATTTTTGTTTCCTCAATAGGAAATCCCTCTCAGTTACTCTGGACTCTCCTCTGAAGATCAGCCACGACTCCACTGGAGACCAGTTAAATCAGGATCACTGCAGTGGGTTCAGATACGGTATTTTGTAAAAATTCTCTAGATGATTTTATTTTATTTTTTCAAAGATTTTATTTTAAAGTAATCTCTATACACAAAATGAAACTGAGCTTACAACCCTGACATTAATATTCCCTGGGGCGCCTGGGTGGCTTAGTCGGTTAAGCGTCCGACTTTCGCTTAGGTCATGATCTCGCGGTTCGTGGGTTCGAGGCCCGCGTCGGGCTCTGTGCTGACTGCCAGCTCGGAGCCTGGAGCCTGTTTCAGAGTCTGTGACTCCCTCTCTCTCTGGCCCTCCCCTGCTCACGCTGTCTCTCTCTCTCTCCTAGAAATAAAAAAATTAAAAAAAAAAATTGAAAAGACTCCCATGCTCCACCGACAGGGCCTGCGAGGTGCCCCTCCAAATAATTTTAATATGCAGTCAGTACAGCCGACCATCAGGCTGGATTGCAGTTTAGCAACTTTGGTCTTACTCATAATTGATTTATTTTCTCTTTGCTGATTCAACAAATAAGAATTTTCCAATATAATTTTTATTAGCTGCCACTTTTTATAAAAATCTTTATTTTTGAGAGAGAGAGAAAGAGAGAGAGCATGTAAGTGTGTGGGGGGAGGACCAGAGAGAGAGAGAGGGAGACAGAGGATCTGAAGCACTCAGTGTTATTAGCTGCCATTTGACTGAGTATTTACTATGTGCCAGGCACAGTGCCAGATATTCTTTTCTGCCTTATATCATCTAATTTCCATAGATAGGTGTATTTCCAAATCACTTGCCCAGTTAACTGCCCCTCTCCAGGGCCCAAGCACTTACCCACTGCACCACACTGCTTCTCTCCTCTAAGTCACTCCTGATAGGAAAGTGTTGGGAACACAAAAGTCTCTCAGCAGTTATATATAAACGCTATCTGGAAACGGCAACCTAGAACACAAATGACTCAAGAACAAGTATGGAGGATACCAGGAAGTGACACTGTAGGGCAGACCAGGCGATTCAAAATCTCTTTTTCGCGGGTCCCCCCAACACCTGCCTCCGGCCTTTAACCACCCCTACTTAGCCCCAGTTTTAAAGCTCCCTGGTCCACGATGACCAATTTTAGGGATAGAATAACCTTTAAATACAAAGCGTCAAAAAACCAGTCCAGATATTTCCCAAATCCGAAGCTGCAGTTTAGGGGTTCAGTCATTACTGGATAAAGGGAAAAGCCGTCCCGGGCTTTCTCCACCTCAGCCCGCCGACTCAATGATACGGGAGCAAATGCCCGGGGTAGGGTGGATTGCCCAATTCGCTTTCCTCACAGCCTTAGGAGGGAGACCTCGCAGCAAACCGCCAGAGGAGGAAGTGTGGCCGGAGGCCCCTCATTCCCTACTAGCCAGAGGGGAGGGCGGGGTCAGTGCCTGGGGGCCAACCCTATTTGCCGCCCTTGGGGATCCCGGGGCAGGGCAGCCGGCGTTTATCATTCCGTACCTCACCCTGAAGCAAGGGCGCGTCGGCCAACGGGGAGCGAAGCTAGCTCGACCCCTGGTTTAACTGGAGCACAACCCCTGGTTTAACTAAAGGCACTGAAGGAGGGACCTGGGCTCACGGTGTGGGAAGGGAATGGCTGCCGGCTCACCCCAAGGCGGAGCGCAGCTGGCACGGGAATTCTATTCCAGAGGATCCCTAGGGCTGCCCGCGCCGGTTGCCATGGCAACCCCACGCTCCTGGCGGAGCCGGCGCGCGCCTCAGGGCTCAGCCACTACCGGAAGTGACGTGTTTCACCTGCCGTGCAAGGGTGGGGTGGGACGGGGGTGCGGAGGTGCCGCCGCCGCCAGCCAGTCGGGAGCGCGCGAGGCACAGGGTGACTGAGACCCCGGGTGAGAGCCGCCTACCTTCAGTCACCGCCCACGGCCGGGCCGCCACCATGGCGCTTCTGCTGCGCTTGGTCCTCTTGTGGGGAGTCGCGGGTGAGTGGGGGGCAATTCAGTTCCTAGGGTCCGTGTTGGCGGCGCCGCCCTGGGGCTCTAGCTGCCTGTGGCCACCCGGGAACAATGAGGCGTGGGGGAGGGGACGGGTGCGATTTGGGGGCGCTGCGGCAGTGGTGGCCGTGCGGGTGGTATTAAAATAGTGTGGTTTGCGGAGCGAGGCGTGCGAGCCCGGAAGGTGGAACGGCTCGGAATAAAGCCATGCAGGGGCATGAGGTGTTCGGGGGGTGGGGGGGAGGGGGGAGTTGGAGATGGTGGAGACCGAGCCCGGAGATGAGAGGCGGCGGTGCAGGGGCTTCTCGGGCGCGGGTGGTGGGCGAGGCGTGCCGGGTGCGTCTGGCGTCTTTCCCAGACCATTCTTTGCTGCGGTTGCAAGGTTTGCTTTATTCGCGCTTGCCCTTTCCCTCGTTAGCCGCCGTGTTGTGTCCGTCCAGGGTTACTCGATTTCAAAAGCCTTGGACTGCGAGTTTGCAGGTGTTGAGCAGTCCAACCGGGGAGGCTGAATTACAAACGCCATGATTAAATAGACACTGAGCTTTTCAGTGCCTCAAATCGTCCAAGCTACCTCTAGGAAAGAGGCGCTGAACGAGCAGTAGCCGGAGCATTCTTGGTCCCGTAGGAGAGGAGAGCCCAAGCACGAGCTGTTAACTAGAAGGTAACTCGACGAAGTAGACCGTCAAAAATCAAAGGTAGATTCCCGCAAAGAATGCGGTCTTGGTGCCCGAAGTCCCGGAGCAAAGTGCAGAGGAGAGATTCGTAACCTCAGTTTATGATGAGTTAATTCATTTTTAAGATAGGAGGGGGATGGCTTGTACGGGGCACTTCCTAAAGGATTCGCCAAGTACATTTTTCGACTGCGCCTTTCTCGGGAGGGGAAAAAAAGGCATTTAAAAAATGGGTGAGCCATTGGAAGGCACAATCATTTGACACTTTAAGTGATCTGTCTTCATGTCAGTGTTTTAACGAACTGATCTTGTTTGTCTGGGTAACCATTGTATTTTAGAACCAAATTGTTAATTAAACGAAAAAAATCCGTAGGTGGGACCCTGGGAGGCACGTTTGCGTAGGCTCTGGAAGGATTTTTTTTTTTTTTTTTTTTTTTAAGCCCGAAAGGATCGGGTGGCCCTTTCTGTTGGGATGGCTCTCTGTTTCCTGTTGAAATGTTAATTCCATTGTTGGATGCCACATCTGTGAGCATTACTCATGGGATCAACATTCTGTTACCAAGTCTAATCTTCTGACTACAGCACCACCTCCACCTTTTTGATACTTATCATTTAGACTTGGGTGAAATTTCCAAAGTAAAGCTTCCGGAAAAGATGAAGGGTCAGTAACTAGTTTACTTGGTACATTCCCACCTTTGTTTTGTGAAGGACTAAACTGAAGTTGAAGTGGAGAACACATTTTCTCTATGGGAAGAATATTTTACGCTACATCTACAGCAGAAAAGTGGAATAGCATAAACAGTGTAGAGGATTAAAAATTTTCTTTAATGTTTATTTATTTTTGAGAAAGACAGAGTCGGAGTGCAGGCTGGGGAAGGGCAGAGAGAGGAGACACAGAATCTGAAGCAGGCTTCAGGCTCTGAGCTGTCATCACAGAGCTCAATGTGGGGATCAGACTTACGAACCACAGATCATGACCTGAGCCAAAGTCAGGGGCAAAACCGACTGAGCCACCCAAGTGCCCCTGTAGAGGATTTTTTTTTTTTTTTTTACCCCCTGGGGATGTCCGAATGATTGCCTGGTTTTCATTTTTCTTGGATGCCTCACTTTGTCAGGCACAATGAACTTCTCATTAAAGGGCTATTGTCCGTTGCTTCACAAGACAGCTATTTTTAGCTCCCATTTCCCAGCTTAGGGAACAACTCAAAAACTATGTAACTGATGTATGGCTTCCAGTGTTTCTTGAGACACTCTTGCCATTTTAGAAGTTCCTTGCTATGAATTCAGTTTGAGTGTCTTCCACATTTGGCAAAACATAGTGGAGGAGGCTTACATATTAAAAATTGCAGTGCTATTTTTTCTCTAGATCTGTCTCCATATGGGTTGTAAAGAGTGTTGTATATTCTGGTTGCTAGTGGAAGTCCTTTTGATGCATTTTATTACCTACCCAGCAGCAAGTCATACTACCAGTAATAATAGTGGCAGTAGTGGAGCTGTAGCAATAGTAGTAAAATTAAAGCCTTGATTGAGCAGTTATTAAATGCCAGACACTGTTAAGGGTTTTACATATACTCAACCTACGTAGTAACCCTGGGGGGTATGTATTACAGTGATCCCTATTGTACATTTGAGGAAACTGAGGCACAGAATAGTTCTATAACTTAATTTGCCAAGGTCACAAATTTGCTCTTTAATCCTTGCTCTTACCACCGTGGTATTTTGCCTTTGTAGTAGCCATTTTCCTCTTTGATTAGATGTGATCGATATCCTAAATTTTTATCACTGGTTATCTGTCATTTAATAATAACCTGCTGTTGGTTTGACTCTGACAAATACTGAAGTCTCTATTATTATTAGCCCTTCACTTTTTTGATCTTAGTTGCATACTTTCTGGCCCCATTATGAAAACATGAGGAATCAGGTTAGTGTTGTAAAACTGATGTGGCCCATCTACCAGCAGCATCAGCATCATCTGGGGATCTTGTTAAAGTTTGGGGTGCTGCTGTTTCTCACACTGTCAACATGAGTGAAACTAAAAATTTTTTGTCTATCACTTGTTAGCCATTTGATGGCTGCAGGCCCCTGTCCTTTCTCTGTGCCTCAGTTGCTTTATGTGTCAAGAATAGGGATCCTTTATTTCCTCTATATATGTCTCTTACTGTTCACATTTTGGCCATTTTACCAACCACCTAAAAAAATGTCACCCCTCCTCTGAGGCAAGCCAGTTTACATTGGCTCCTTACCCTGTGTGTTGTGGAGTGTCCATGAGTTACTCAATTTATCTTACTGCACTAGGTCAGAGGGCAGAGACATCACCTGTGTTCTTGTTACAGTCCCAGGGTTAGCTGGTGGTATGTGGCAAGTAGCAAATGTTCAGCACTGTTGTGTGGCTGAAAGTTTGTAGCCTTTTTACCATTAGGCCTGTGTATATGATGTAGCCCTCATCCCTTCCATCTCTCTTTCCCTTCTCATCAAATAAGGATGGTCCTTCTAGTGATCATTCCAGTAGACTTGTCTCAAATGAGACAAGTTGTTAGTCTAAAGAAGTTAAGGTTCTGCTTTATCTCTGATCTCATTGTTCTCTTCCACCTTAGTGGCCAAAGGTAACAATCACCATGTTCCAAATCTGTTTATCTTTTTGGAGCTTCTTGCTACCTTTTTGGTTCTTTCCCACCTTGTTAACTTGCTCTTCATTGACTTCTTTTTTTTTTTTTTAAATGTTTCATTTATTTATTATTTCTAGGAGAGAGAGACAGCGTGAGCAGGGGAGGGTCAGAGAGAGAGGGAGATACACAGTCTGAAACAGGCTCCAGGCTCTGAGCTGGCAGTCAGCACAGAGCCCGACGCGGGGCTCGAACCCACGAACCGCGAGATCACGACCTAAGCGAAAGTTGGACGCTTAACCGACTAAGCCACCCAGGCGCCCCTGCTCTTCATTGACTTCTACAGAAGGTCCCTTAAATATAGCCTCACCCATGATTTGGCCCATAATACCCTTCTTTCAATCTTAAACCTGGGTAACCTCATTTATCTATTACTGTAACCTCCAAACAGTTGCTAATAACTTAAAAATAGTGCCACCTTAGCCCACCTCTCCTTTGAATTCTGGGCCACTGTTTCCAACTGTTTAACATTCACATTCCACCTGATTGCACTTTTAGTACTTTACATTGTGCAAGTCTGGAACTGAACTCATCCATTACTTTAATTGATTACATGATGCAGTCATTCAAATATTAACGCCTAGTATGTACTGTGCCTGTACTAGGTGCCCTTAACAGTAGTAACTGCAGAGGTTTGATAGGACATTTCCAGCAGATGGTACAGCTTTTGCAAAGTCATGGAGTTCTGAAAGGGTATAATGTGTTGTGGGAGGTGAGAAAGTTAGTGCATTAGGGCATCTAACCAGCACTTCTTGAAGTTTTGATGTACACCTGAGTCTTTCTTGTAAGAAAGTATGGGGTGAAGCCTGAGATTTTGCCTTTTAACAAGTTCCTTATGATGTCACTGCTGACGGCACTCTGGGTGGGTGAAGAGCTAAGGCTGTGCTAAGAGCTTAGTAGGAGTTGAAGATGATGGACATCTGTCAAATTCTATCACTCTCCATGGTGGCACCAAAGAAGCTTGTGGAGGCATTAGAGGAGTGAGATTATAACTGAGATGATTCTCTTGAATGATGAACCCTGCAGCAGTTCTGGAGGTGGGTAGAACCAGTAGATCTGATCCAGGAAGCTCTCTGGGATTATTTACATATAAGCAGTCCCTGTTTAAAAACAACAACAACAACAGAGAATTGTGTTGGGCTTCCTTTCTGGTGTGAAAAGTTTTAAGGGAAATGCAGTGAAACCTGATACCTGGTTGGTTGCAAGAAAAAGTTGGAGAGAAGCAGTAAGATTTCTGGCTTTCGGTGAATTGTGAAGTCACTAACCTACGGAGGATAAAGAAAAACAGAGCAAGCTTTAGGGGAAGTGACCAGTGAGCTTAAGTTTGGACAGGTGGTGTTTGAGGTGCCTGAAGGGAATGGAGGTAAAAACTACCTAGTAGGAAGATTTAAACAAAGGACTGGATCTCAG